TTGCATGCGCGTGCATTAATCCGCGTTAGCTAACCCGTTATGGGATTAAAGTTTAACCCGTTATGGGCTATACGCATTTCCTGTAGTATATGTCTACAGTATATCTACAGTATGTACTACGTATATTTGCTATATGTACAGCATGTACTATAGCTACTTGATATAGTAAATGCACTGCATGCACTATATCTATTACATTGTACTGTATGTACTGCATATATATATATATATAGTATTGCGATCAAAAAATAAAGTGAATTTGTTTATAAAAAAAAAAAAAGTCTTTATTTATTCGTTCAAATCTCTGCTATCGTCTTCACATATATATATATATATATATATGTATTCTCTACCAGCTGTTTGGCTGAAGGAATTCATAGTGCTCAGCACTACGATAATCGAAGAGAACTGGTAACCGTATCTTGATTTTTGAGGGATTTTGGTGGCTTTTTTTCCGGTTTTGCTTCGCCTATCGCATGATGTTCGCTTGAGTGGTCGATTGTTTGAGGTCATACGCATAGATCCAAGTCCTATTTTCGTTAACGACGATTTTCATGACGTCCACCTAATTTGAAATTATTGCTTTAGACAAACACGGTAAGGATCGGACAACTCATTTTTGTATGTTTGCAAAAAAACGCATTTAACTCTACGACAATTGCGTGTAGTGACGTGGAACTCTACACAGACATCAAAGACAATAGTACAAACATACAATTGCAATTTTTAGTTGATCATGCTAGTATATGTATTTGTATAAAATGTATACTTCATATATTACTGTTATCTAAACTATATGTACTACATATTTTATAGGGTGTCCCAAAAATTACGCATGATTTGAATTTGCCACGACTTGTGTGGTAAAGAGTTTGCAGCTTCCCCTCCCCGGCTCCTCCACCTCATCCAGGTAAACAAAAAAAACAACAATTTTACAGCTGACTATTAAGGTTTAGTAAAAATGGAGCATTATATGCGAGAGCAACACGCTTTCATTGCTGACAGTTCGCAAATTTCGTACAAAATATGGCCGAAATATTGATTGGACTTTAAAGTAAAAGCATCTCACGCGACGAAGCTCATTTTCGGCTTGATGGTTTCGTTAGACGTCAAAATTGCCGCATTCGGAGTTGAAAGTACCCATAAGTCATTGTCGAAAAAGAAATGCAACCACAATGTGTCATCGTTTGGTGCGAATTTTTGCCTGGAGGCATCAAATAATGGAGAAAAGAATGCATATATGCCAACCGCGCCAGCCATTTCATACGATGTTCTATTTCACACATATAACAGGATCCTATGCATGTTAGAATTTAATAACAAAAAAAAAAAAAAAAAAAAAAAGAAATTAACTCCGTTTCCTATTTCAGGGCACATATGGCATATTGGCTGCGTATATGGCATAGTATTTGTTACCTCTATATATATATATACATATGTCAGGTGTATCCCATTCATGACATGCGTACAATGTATGACGTAACTGCGAGAAATAATAATAAATTTCTAATAAAAAAAAAAAAAAAAAAAAAAAATTCAAATTTTCTCGCCCAAGAATTTTAAGATCATGCACACGTATTATTGTACTCTCGCTGTTACTTTTTACTTTTTGTTGCCGATGCTGCTTTGTTTTGAGTGATCTCGCTTGCATTTGCGTTTTTTTAGAATAAGATGTCAAGTTGACGCCAAACAGCCTACTGCACTGCCTATAATCATCATATGTTTTCGCTCTGTTTACCCAAGTAATGAAAACAAATCATCGTCTATCGATCTCAGCTAAATTCCACGCAAACATAAACATAACGCATACACAAACACACACGCACACATACCCATTACATATTACAACTAATTGCCACGGGGCTGATAAATTCTTATAATTGTGATCGTAATTGATTGCATTCATCAAAGATTGCAAGCATCACTCGAAAGAGTAATCATCTCTCAACTAAACTAATAACGATTACAAAATGAAATAGTTACGATGCGACAGTATTTGTATGTATACACGCAAACCGTTAAAAAAAAAAAAAAAAAAAAACTGAAATCGAAATGATCACCAGCATCATCATCATCATCATCATCATCATCATCATCATCACACAATGTAAACGTAAATCTGTTTTATTGTTTAATTAGCCGACAATCTCATCGTATCGTAACGTGCTCTCTTCATCATATGTCATCAATCTGACATAGGATATATTGATATATACGAATGAGCTAGCTATTAACAATACGATACGATACGTTGTTGCTAATCGATCCACTAAAATTATTTATATTATTATTATTATTGTTGTGAGTGATGATGATGATGATGATGATGATGATGATGATGATGCTGGTGAT